CAAACATTCTATTTACTTAAAATCTTTTGATTGGTTTAATTTTTCCCGAAGGACTTTTTAGCCCAGAAAAAATTCATTCGTTGTAAAGCAGACAAACAGATGCGCAAACAATTACTAACTCAGCGAATATTATCTTTAGAAATAATCTTTTAATTAATTCAGAAATTAATTTATTCTTTTCACCGGAAATACAAAATCCTTCCAAGAATCCCTCAGGGCATAGATATTCCATGACTCACTCTCTTCCTCCCCCTCTTTCCCCTCATCTTTCTCTCCCATCATTCTCTTTCTATATTAACTGATTTTTTTAAAAATCTATTCAGTGTGAAGTCGTTATCTTTGGGGAGATCTTACCGTCAGCAGTCGAAGCCGTGATGGAAGTTCAGGGCCAACAGGTGTTGATCATGGCCCTGTCCAGTTAAGATTATTTTATGTTTCAGTTAAATTAATTTCAATTTAATACTGGTTTTATCGCTTAATCTATGTGCTTTATTCATGAATCCGATTGTAACAATCACAGCCACTAAAATTCTGTCCATCATAAAATTAGAGAACGTCAGCAAACCTGATATAAATTTGAATCCGAATTTATTCATACAAATAAAATGTCCAGGGATAAAATAGAGGAAGTAAGAGGAGGCAGTTTTCCGAGTTGGATGGTCTGTCTGCTGTTGTAAAAATCACAATTGTCTGCTTGTTGCATGCATAAGAGAATCCGAAACAAAAGTGATGATGATGAGACAAAGTGGAAAATTTATTAACGACGCGTTTCGCCAACGCGTCTGCTCTATTTGACTTCTTCAGTTTAGAATGAAAGAGACAAAACTGTATGTGAGGGAAAATGCCTTGGGATCTCTGAGGATAAGGAGTCATAAATCAAATTAAATTAGATACCTTATCAAGAGAGTGTCTGTCCGCTTGTTTATTTGATTTATTTGTATGAAAGGCGTTTGGTGTGGTTGGATTTTAAATCAGTCCGCCGAAACGAAAGGGTGTTTTTTTTTTATTATACACACAGACACACAGACACACACACATATTTAGATATATATATGCGTGTGTGTGAGCACATACACACACAACCAACACACACACACACACACACACACATATATATATATATATATATATATATATATATATATATATAATAAAAAAGCACTCTTTGTTTTCGACGGACTGACTTAAAATCCAACTACACCAAACAAACGGTTCTGATAATGATAAAACAAACAAACAAGCGAACAGAGACTCTCTTGAGTCTGTACATTGGAGGTGATAAGGTATCTAATTTAATTTGATTTATGCCTACTTATCCTCAGAGATACCAAGGCATTTTCCCTCACATACAGTTTTGTCTTTCATTCTAAACTGAAGAAGTTAAAGAGAGCATACGCTTTGGCGAAATGCGTCGTTAATAAATTTTCCACTTTGTCTCTTCACAAAATCACAATTCTAAAACTTGATTTTTTTTTCTGAACACGAACAACAGTCTCTTGTTTCAGAAGGCAATACACAAATAAATCAGTCACTAAACTGGCTTTTATATAGATTTTTTTAAAAATATCATTTTACTAGGGTTGCCTACGCATTAATATTTAAAAAAAACTTCAAATACCTGAAATCATAATAAAAAATAGAATATCTTTCAGCTTTAGAATAATGAATTAAATAAACACGATTTGCATAATAATGAAAGCGACCATATTTGTTGTAAGCGATTCAAATAACTCCCTGAGCACGCCAAAAATATTTTATAACGTTCTAAACACCTAATTTAAAAAAAAAAAACAAACAATAGATCTGAGGTGACTTATTTACATATGAAGTTACAAAGACTATAAATAGGTACAGTTGTTATCCGTGAGGCATTTGAGTGCTTACTACTTCCCGTGAGTCATTAACACTACATTATAATGGCGTCGCCGATATCTAACGACCCGAACGAACAAATATCACTTGAGAATTATGAATAAGCACAAGTGTAGCTTAGGATACTAGTATGGGGTAGTTAATGGTGTTGATTAGAAAAGAATCAGAAGGGTTTTTGAGCAAGGTTGCGTTTTTACATTAACACTCCACTTTAAATTTGTAAAGAAAACACAAAAATGAATGACGAATGATCAATGAAAATCAACAAGTAAACATGTATTGAAACAAGCATATACATATAATTCTGTTAATAACAATAAAGATTAAGTCACCCGAAGTGGTTTCCCTTGTATTGTATGAAGAACAAATGTATGTTGTAATAATGTCTTTTGTTTAAGTTTGTTGGTAGTTTAAGAATGTTTGATGTTTGAGTTTGAAAGTTGAAATACTTGTGCAGAAGAATGATATAGTTCGAATAGTTCACTTGGCTTGTAAACAGACAGTACACTGTGTTGTGTGAGTGCAGTTTATAACTGTGTGTATTTGTGAGTAGAAAATTGAATATACACGTACGTGGTTTAGGTTGTGAAAATTTATAATCTACTGAAGTTATTTCTTTAATTTCTACTTTATCTAGATGTAAGGTGGCTCCAGGAACGAGCGCTGGAAGGATATTGAAGAAAGTGTTATTTAATGTGATTGGCCAAAAATCGACCAATCATTGATTTTTTTTTCTATAGCTAGTTTGGTGAAGCAAAAACACGAGAAATTTTTATGTGGCGCGTGCGATGCGTAAATTGTCTGTACAAAAGGTATTGGTTATTTTCCGTCCAATTACTGTTGAGTAATTTGTGGGCGTGGTGTACGTAGGCGTCCACTACACTAGTAGCTATAGCTAGAACAAAACAGCTGAAAGATTTGAAATCAGTTGGAGAAAATCAAATAACTGATTTTATGCTGCTAGTTGTGAGGCCATTACAAAATTATCAACAATTGCGCACCCAAGAAAGTTGGAGTAAATGACGTTTGACGATATAAGTCAACTAATAGTGAAAAACATAACGTTCAAGAATGAATGTAGAGAGAGCTAAGTTTATGAATATTTCTCAAAGAGTGAATGAACCAGTTATCGAATATGTTTTTCGATTAAAACAGGCTGCTAAATATTGTGAATTTGAGAAACTGGGGTTGGAAAACCAGTTAAGCGAAGAGGATTTGATCCAAATTGAATTGGTAAACGGCCTTCAAAATGAGGTGTATCGGTAAATAACTCTAATGCATTTAAAACCGGGAAAGCTGTCACTAGAACAGTGTGTTGAATTTGTTCAACAAGAATTAATTGGAAAATTTAATAGAACAAAAGTTACGGTAGAGGAAATGGACACATACGCGATAAAGAAAAAGATAAAATAACCAGTACTTTTCGTGGATATCAACATCAAATAAAAAGAATCAAAACTGCAAGTACGATTTTTCAAATGGCTATAGAACAAGTTATTGGTAGCGATATAAAAATACAAGATACTACCATGATGACATTTGTCTTGGTGCTAATAAAGACGAAGAATTATAATGGAAAACCAATATGGTTTCGAATGAGCTAAAAAATGCTGGATTAACAATTAATGAAAAAAAAAAAGTGTACACAGCACTAAAAAAATATCATTTTTGGGATATTCCATATCTAACGAAGGCATATCACCAGGCTAATCGTTAATGGAGAAAATTTTAAAATTTGAGCTACCTAAGGACAAAAACGAACTGGAATCTTTCTTAAATGTTTCTTCTACTACATAATAAGAAGCGAAGATCCAGGAAGATCATCTGGTTCACCACCCCGCACTTTTAATCTCATGGTTGAAACTAAATTAGGACTAAAATTCTTAAAACTTATTAATAAGCATTTTCCTAAAACGAATAGGCTTAGTAATATCTTCAATAAAAAATACTCTTAAACTTAGTTACAATTGGAGATCCTGGAGTTATCCTGATTTCCTACATAAACTAGTATTAATTTTAAAGCATTAATAAATTGTATCTGGAGCCCGTTGTCGCATTATTTGAATTATCATATACTTGTAATTTAATTGGCCATTACATCTTACGCAAAAATCAAGAGTTAATAAAATTGTATATATATATATATATATATATATATATATATATATATATATATATATATATATAAATAGAGCAGAGTAGTTAACATATCAACTTTTTCATATTTGGCAGTTAAAAGAGTTCAATAATAATAGAGGTTTTATTATATATATATATATATATATATATATATATATATGATAGCTAGCTCGCTCCCGAATTTGAAAAAGTGTGTTATAAAATTATATATATATATATATATATATATATATATATATATATATATATATGCAGGTACTGGATTTATGTTTCTGTATTCATTATCTAAAAGTGAATTGAACACTTTCATAATAAAGAAATAAATATATATCATGTAATGTATTTATATAACACAGCCCCGTCTTCTCACCCAGTCGCGTCTCATTCCGCCAGTTGATCATTCCCACCCACGTTGTGTTATTTTTTTTTTTTTATCTGAGGTGGAGCTAGTTGAAAGGAAGTTATAAGAAAAATAAAGAAGAAATCGACTTTTAGGACAGAACACCGACGTTTGCTTTCAAAAACAATAACACTGAGTTTATTTTTCAAGGGTTACAATTTAACTCTTCTCAATTCAGCAATACCGCGGTCTACTTCCTTACGGTCGGTTTGTGTGTAAGTAGGTGTTAGCATTATTCACAAATAATCGCAAAAACAACTGCATTACATCGGACTGTTGTTTGGTAGTCAGTTCAACAGTTCAGTCAGGGAACTTTGGTGTCGGACCTGGAGACAAATTTAGTTCCCAAAAACTTGTCTCAAACTCTTTCAATCGTCAGTCTCCAAATGAAAACTTCTTAGTCTGTGGATAATTTCTTCAGTTTACAAATTCTTATTGGGTGGTATCTTGAAAGGGATGGACGACTAGGTTGTAAAAGGGCTGGTGATCAACAACTCGACCGCGTGACTGTCTGATACTGTATCCTGTTTTATGTCGCTTCTTGTCGCTCTCTGTGGCTTTCTACTGCATTTCGACACTCTTACTCTCTATGACTCTCCGTGACTCTCTCCTTATCAAAGAAAAAAACCAAGACACGCAAACTTATGTATCTTTATTGTCAACACCTGTTCACCTTTTCCTTTACGATCTAAACTGACGAGAGACTTTCTCAATGAGGTATCAATGACCTGGAGTAGCAATTTGGCATTTCTTACTTCTGTTCTTTACACTCATTATTTTTATAAAGTATTCCTTATCACTCAATTTTTATAAAAAATTTATAATGATGTTCATCCTCTACAAGAACCAAGAGTCACTCGAGGTAAAATCTTACAAAGTGGCACAGTTTATGGGGATATGTGGGAAAGATCACGATTAATCGCAAACTTGAACAGGTTACGATTGTAGTGATCGATGAAATATCCTCTTGAGAGTATGTTCCACAAAACAGCAGTTCATAGGAAGAAGTTGCTCTAGTGGAACTTGCATCTCACCACTGGAATACTAAGGGAATAAGAGTGGGTCATTACAATGGGCGTAGCATGATGGGTCTTAATTGTTAAGGTTAGAACTGGTAGAACTAAGCAATGTAGTTCGTCTAAACATTTTCCATGCGATAGAGTAGCGAGTGGCTTGCGACATTTCGTTTGTGGGAAAAGGGGTCACAGAGTGGAAAATAATTCATCAACCACAAGGACGCGGAGATGCTTTTGGACTCTACCTAGACTAGAAAGTGAAGATTGGTTATCTCCGGTCCATTTATGACAGCACTAACCCATTTTCGGCCTGATCTGGCTCTTTTAAACGTCGAGGATAGCAGGAGGAGCCAGGTATTTAATGGAACGATTAAAGGAACCCACCACTTTCCAAGCATGTATGTACAAGTTTCGCGAGGTCTGGGTTGAGTTTAAGTCACAATAGGCGCTCACGGCACGGAGCCTTCTTGAGAGAACAACCGTTCATCGCGATAGGTGAAAGTTCACGTTCTGCTCGGTGATGATGATAACATCGCTGAGAATTTATTGACCAGAAATAACACATTAAATCGTCCTCAACACACGAAGTAAAATAGTTTAGCTGAGTGAAGTGCTGATTAGAAGGCACCAGTACTACAGAGATTTGAACACTTCTATTCAAGTCGAAATTACTCTCTCTTTCTTTCTTTCTTTCTTTCTTTCTCTCTCTTTCTTTCTCTCTTTCTCTTAGTGGTTCTGTGACTCTGTCGCTTTCTATCCCATTTAAGTTCACTAAAACTGTCGCTCTCTACACCATATCGACCTTCTGCGACTCTGTTGCTTTCCGCTATATCTCAACTCTCGTTCTCTGTTACTCTCTGGCTGACTGTGTGCTATATCACGGTTCTCTCTGGCTACTTGTGATTCTCTGTGTCTCTGTTACATGATCCTCTGTGGATGGAATCGTGATGGGCTCTTGTATTTATGGAAACACGTTTCCTTCAGGTGTCGAGTTGCAAGTCAATCTGCATATATGCATAGTAACTCCAGCTGCAGGTGCAAATTCAAACTCAGATAATTACAGGTGCTGATTCAGTCTTAGACAATTAATACAAACTCAGACAGTTTCAAGTTCTAATTCAGATTCAAACAATTCCAGGTGCTAATTCAAACTCATACAATTCCAGATGATAATTTAAACTCAGACAATTCCAGGTAGTAATTTAAACTCAGATAATTCTAGGTTCTACTTCAATCCACACAAGTAACCCTGTTACATGTCTCCTTCAGCCGTATGTAATTTACCCTACCTAATAAATTTCAACCACAACAATTCCCATTCGAACCGTCCACCAAGTATAGATTCACTTATTTGTAAAATCCACACTAGTAATTTTGTTACATCTAATTGTGCGAGAATTCTCGACTGTAAAAATGTATGTAAAGGTTTCTCCACAATCACCTTAGGAAAATTTTGAGCACTTCTAATAAAACATAATTTAATCAGAAACATCAAAATATTTCCTTTGTAAATCTTATTTTAACATCGATTCTTTATTCTGAAACTTTCAGAAGAATTTCTCTCCGAATCTTTCGGTGTATAAAGGCTAAAGTTAAAATGATCGCAACAGTTGCATTTATGCCATCACCCTTTCATTATTTGACCGATAAAGAGTTACATCCTTCCCTCATGGGTGGAACTATCTTACGAGTGATAGCCTCTAGTTATTTTCTGTTACGATATAAGTTAATCACGTGACTGTTAACAATTGATGAAAAGGAATTAGTCATCTTCATTCATCGCCAAGTTGTTTTTTGCTCTTTTTGAATAAGGGAAAGAAAGAACAAATGGAAAAAGAGAAAAAAGGGTGAGGGAAAAAAAGAAAGCATTAAATCGGAGGAAAGAAATAAAAAGAAAGAAAAAAGAAAGACCAGAAAGGAAATTAAAAAAAAATAAATAAGGAAGACATGTGGAAAGAAAGAAAGAAACAAAGAAAGTAAAATAGGTTAATCTGGGTGACTAGACACCCCTGAGCAACATGTAATTGTTGGGGTACATAATGCACTTGAAAAGAACGAACATTTATCGAGTCGGAAATGGAGGCCTCACGTGAGAAATTGTCCTAAATCCTGGATTGCTTATTATTTAAGTTTGTTTTAATTTGAAATTTATTGCGTTGAATTTGTTCATACGTCTGCACGAAAGTTAATTCTGCTCATTTAACAGATAAATTTCCCATCGGTTATCAATAAAACTGTGACTTGATTAATGTGAGGATTGCCCGTGGCAGAAGGCCGAGTTTAGCGTGGGTTTCCCGAGCCCGTAGCCTCGGCCAAAAAATGCCCGTAGAACCCGTATAAACGGGATAGGGTTGGTCAACCTCCCCGAACGAAACTCTACCCTTCGGCGGAGCCTCGTCCGGGTTCCTCTCTGCTCAGAGGCAGAGAGTTCGACCGTCAAGCCGAGAAGCTCGGCTTGATTCGGTATCTAGCCCCCCCCCCCCCACGAGGGTTGCATGTGGCACAAGGCCGAGTTTAACGTGGGTTTCCCGATCCCGTAGTCTCGGCCAAAAAAATGCCCGTAGAACCCGTATAAACGGGATCGGGTTGGTCAACCTCCCCGAACGAGACTCTGCCCTTCGGCGGAGCCTCGTCCGGGTTTCGCTCTGCTCAGAGGCAGAGAGTTCGACCGTCAAGCCGAGAAGAGTCCATTCTGTAGTTATAGGTAAGGACCCATGACAGTTAGTGTAGCACAACAAAGACCACACATGGTAGTGCAAGTTCTGTTAGCGCAATACTGGTCCGCTCGTAAAAAAAAAAAATAGAGAAACATTATGGGGAGAATAATTTTTGCTGATTAACATTCATTAGACTTTCCTCAAGCCACAGCATTTGTCAGAATCGAAAAAAAAATGATCTTTTTTTTTTTTTTGTAACGGGGGATCATGATCCTCATATAAATATAGGGTGTTTCAATAACCGATTTTAAATGTGAATTAAATTTAAGCGTCTAATGATTTTTTTTCTTTTTTTCTTTCAGATTTAACAACTTAAGTCTTTGGCAATTTCAACCACGGAAATCAAACAACGTGTTAAAATTGGGCTGTATATTTATAAATTTTAACGTCCATATTTGTAATAGGCTTCAATAACTTTAAAACGTTGTTTGATTGTTAATCTTTCCATGGTTGAAATTGCCAAAAACTTAAGTTGTTAAATCTGAAAGAAAAAAATCATTAGATGCTTAAACTTAATTCACATTTAAAACCGGTCTAAGTTATTGGAACACCTTATACAATGTCAAATTGATTACAGGTTCTGAAAAAGGACACAGTCATCAGCAGTACAGAGTTATTAGGGTATTAAATACAATTTCAAATTTGATATTTGTAAATAAAAACGAAGTACAGATAACTCTTTAAAAAGTCAGAGATCGATTTGACACCGTATTTACATTAAGAACGGTCCTCCCTTCTAAAAGGATAAAAACAAAAAACAATATTTTTCGACAAATGCTGGAGGTAAAGGAAAGTTTAATGAATATTAAACTACAAAAATAATTTTCCGACATTTCCCACCTCCACTTTTTTTTGTTTTTTAACGAGTAGACTAGTCTATTTAAACGAAAAATAAACGAACTTGTAGAAAACAGCAGTTTCCAGTCTAATCAGAACGCCCATTTTGTGTAATTTCTAATTAAGTTCAAGTTGACAAAAACGTCTGTCCAAGAGAACTCCATGTCTGTTAAACACTAATTTTCCCTGTGTATTCATAAGAAAATAAAAGCAATAAGGGTGGAAGATTTTTGGCTTCACTTGTCTGACAACTTCTCCGTCAGTTATAGCGTTATACCAGTGACAAATTCTTTAATAATTATTAATAATAATAATTAAGTTTAGTGTTAATTAGCATTTGAAATTATGATACAAATTTTATAAACAGGAAGCGATTGGACATCGAGTAGAAGCAGCATTTAATTCACAGTTGAATCATCGCAAGCCTCTCGCTAATCTATCACTATTTCTATGGCAAATGTTCTGATGAGTTAAATTCATTAGTTTAATTGGAGAGCCAACCCTTCCGTCGTACTTAAAAATACTCGTAAATCAGGACATTAAAAGAAATTAATGATCAAAATATCAAATTAGTATGAAGGTAAAATATAATGGCACAGTATTTTCCGTTATTATATGCACCATTCTTAGTGGCGTAGCTAGAGTGCGTGCCGCCCGTTCAAACGTTGAGTTTGCAGCCTCCATCCAAGAAATACAACATATTGCCTCTTTATTATATATATATATATATATATATATATATATATATATATATATATATATATATATATATATATATATAGTGTTTGAGGTGTATCATCAATGGTAGTACATTTGCAGCAAAGCGGTCGACCCTGTTTTACTCCGGTGAATTGTGATGCGGAACTTTACAAGTACATGGCCTACATCCGATTCCCACACATGCCTCCAAGAAGATGCATGGGCACTGTGTCGACCACATTCCGGTCAACGGCATCGACCTACCGGATAAATTGTATGAGAGTAGTCGGAAGGGTTTCGGAAGGGTTTCTCGACCCGTCCCCAACCCACCTATGACAAGCGGCCATTGGTCAGTTGCATAGGCTTTATCAGTGGGCGGAGGAAAATCTGATAGGAGAGACGGGGTAACCACTACACCTCCGATGCAAAAGGAACCGGCAAGCCATTGCACTATTTTGCCTTGAATGTCACCATGAACCACAATTACAACAGAGATGAATAGTAACTACACCTGCGCAAAATGCCTTAAATGAAATACACACACACACACACACACACACACACACACACATATATATATATATATATATATATATATATATATTAGCAGGCCCAAAAGATGAAAAATAGAGCAACACATACCCTCAAACGAACTTCTGTGAGGGAAAATAACTGAAATTTATTTAACACCCAAGATGTGTCATCTACACACAGCAGTTCTGCAGCATTAAAAGAATGCACCCTGGGTCCTTTCACAGGTTTCATATTGTTAACACTGATAAAACATCCCTGAATATATCACTGTTGATGTCTATTGTTCAGCCAAGATAACAATCGCTTAAATACATTTGCCATAGTTTATGTTACTCAAAATCGAAAAGGTCTTTCAACTATGAGTAGTTTTCCGACGTTAAAATCACTTTTATTTCAGTACAGCTTATTCAGGCTTATACAACAAACCCAAAAGATTTGACCCATAAAAGTTTCACCCACCTCTACTACCATAGTGACCCTTCTAGATTCTTCTTGTTTTCGTTTTGATAAACAAGTGTGTAGTTATGTTCCTTCAACTTGTTGGCCTATTCCAATTCATGGCCTTCTTGGCATATTGTTCTTAACAGGTTTCATTCTATGTCTAATGGCCATTCTTGCGACAAAGGTGTCTGGGTACCAGTCCTTTCAGACTATGCTTACCTTACATTTGTAGCTTATTGAAAAGTGTCATTTGTAAAGCAAATGTTTTTCTATAGAAAAAGTACGTATTTTATAACAGGAAATAATTGAGTAATTGTTTTGATTTGAAGAAAATGTCTATATTACCACACCCCAAAAAGTGAACCTGAATTTGCAACTAACGAAAAGAGATGGGTGTTGTTAGGATCGGCATAGCCATATTGAAAATCACTAGGAATTATTGCGATACAAAATATTTTCTCCGGGAACTTATCATATTTGAAATTACGCGAGTTCAAATTTTATTTGAAGTAGCATTTATTTCATTAAGAATGAAATTTTCGATGAAGTCACTAAGACGCAAGCAGTTAATGAGTGAGAAAGAAACAGAAAATTTTAAGGGGAGAGCGAACAAT